CTGGAATACCTGAGCATTAAGCCATTAAGCAGCTTTCGGGTCATAGAGCTCTGAGCTTTGCAGGGTTGCTGAAGGCTTGTACTGCACATGGTTGGCTGCCCATGCTCGCATTGAAACGGAACGCAGGTGCGTGGTCCTACAGCCTAAGGCCCAAGATGTCAGAGCTGCCCTCCACGACTGCTCGGTTAGGACTCTCCACAGGAGACGTCTTCTGACTTGCGATTTTCACTACAAAAGACACTCAAGGGCAGCGGCCTACACCGGAAAGCCAAGGATCGGTCGTGCCGGATCCTGGGTGACGACAGTCGCCCAAGCCAACCACGAAACGGGTGCCCCGATCGCCCAAAGCCCCAGCCCCCCCGCCAGTGACACACCCTGTCATGGGCAGCCTGCAAATGGCACACATGAAGAATGATTCCTGATGCTCTCCGAGATACCAATGCGCGTGTTGAGGCGCAGGAAGAAGACCACGTCCGTGACACTGAGGATGCAGAGCGCCACATTGCTGACCAGCAGTAGCTGACGAAAGCTCCAGTCACTGGCATACTTCCTCGGTGAACAGCGGAGGAAGTACCCAATGGCAACTCCGTGGTGCGAGGATTTGCATGCAGAAAGGGGGCTGGTAGGTATAGATGCCAATCAAAGAGAAGACCGAGCCTGTGACTCCGAGGACTGTGGTGTAAAAGACCTGAAGACGAAGCGACAGGGGGGAAACGCTTGCGAGAAAAATTGCTGCGGGGCCTTGGAGAAGTGAGGGCCCTCGGGATACTGCTCCGCAGTGTCGGTGTAGAAGTAGAAAGACGCGCCACCCACCGAAAAGTTCACTGCGGTTTGGAGGCAGAAGAAAGCATTCACTTTGGCGATCTCCGGGCGCAGGAGGAGACTGAAGGCCGAGATGATGACCACAGCCACCACCACGGAGGCGATAGCATTGACCTTGACATTCTGCAGGGTCGTGCCGATGACGGTAAGCAAGAGGGTGGAGGCCATCATAAGGAGGCAGAGAGCACAGGCCTCCCTCTGCTGGAAGATCAAGGCACGTGCAGCCCTGAGGTCATCCGCGCTGAGCCTTCGCTCTTGGAGGTAGTTTTTCATCAGGGGCACCACGATGATGCTGGAGGGCACCAGAACCACAAGGAAAGGCAGCTTGGGCCCGTAGTGTGACATGATTGGGCCAACCATCAGCATGGCAACAAGGCCTCCACACTGCAAGCCAAACCATACAAAGGACATCAAGGCGGGCCCTTCACTTGGCTTCGTCTGCATCTTCTCGGCATACTTGGCTTCTGTCAGCAGGTCGGTGGTGGAGAGCTGCAGTTGGATGAGGAAAAGGCAGAAGACCAGGCTTGTGATCGTCAGCTGGCTCTGTGGCACGGAGCCAATGCATGCGGTGGCTGCAGATCCCAGGACGGCCACCAAAAGGATATAGGGGCCTTTGTTGTAGCCCAATATCGGCATGGTATCACTGAGCAAGCCAATCATCGGCTTCATGGCCCAAGGAAGGTGTGTCACCCCGCGATAAACTTGCATCTGCGGTCCGGGTACTCTGTAAGCACCATAAAGGAAGTTGATGCAGGGACTGGTGAACTCATTCACAAACCCTTTCATCAGGTGCTGGGCTACAAAAAGCATCACCAGCAGTTCGTAGCCAAAGCTGGACTCTAACTGTTGGATGTATGGCCCTAGGCCACATCCGGAACTCAACCATGCCAGGTTGCTGAGGTTGCTCGGCTTCTGATTCTGTTTTTTCTCCTGAATTAACAAAGGTGCTTCCTCGTCCTCCTCCTCGCAGGGCTCGCCGCTGTCGTCCTGGAAGGGCTCATTGGAGGAGCCTGCCTTGCTGCCACGCTTCATGGCTGCGGCAGCATGATTCACATGAAATATGGAAGGCTTGGGCCATCCTGCATTCCACAGCAGACAACTTGGTGCGAGAACTCTCACAATCCGCACATTCTGGCCCTGAGTCCAGTGGCCGGCGCTCTTCTTCTCCGCCCTCTTCGGAGCTAGCTTGCCTCGGGCAACGGCCAGCGCTGCAGGCCCTCCCTCGGGAGTCGCCAGAACCGTCCGTTCCCCGAGCCGTGCACAGCGGTAGTACCATCTCGTTGCACTGCAAGACGAAGACCGTGTGCCACTCGAGTCCTTCCCGCAGCTAGGGGGTCAAGCTGGGCTGGCCAGATACTTGCGGGCTCGGCGATTGACGTCCTTTTGCCTGATGGATGGTGCTCACCTCAGTATCATAAGGCCGCGGTGGAATGTCAGAATGTTGAGACACACACCCAACTCAGCTGGAAGCAAAGACGCAGTCGGTGCCCTCAGAAGCCAATGCAGCCGAAGCCGACGAACCACAGCCACCCAAGCCTGGCCAACGTTGGACCAGATGCTTTTACTGTTGCACCCGACAGGTCCGGCAACAAACGATACACTCTCAGATCAAGTATCTTGCCGTCACCTTGCCCACTTCCGCTACTCAAATCTACCGCTGCGAGCACCCCCGACCCCAGAGCATTGCGACCTCAACACAGCTCAAATAACACAAGAAATCTGGCCTCCCCCCACGGCCGAGTCCTGCAGGAACTGCACCACGCAAGCTGCAGCCACGGGTGCTTCCTGAGAGCACCGAAAATCTGACGTGCCTGCTGCGCTGGAGCCGCAAAGCTGAAACTCAAGGCGTGCTTGACATCCACAGCATGCGGTCTGGCTGTCACATTGTGCTATCAGCATAGGCCCCTGCAGCACACACGGTGAACTTCTCCGCTGAGGCAATCATCTGCCCAAGACAAGCCTGACACACAGACATACTTCATCTTTCTCTCTCTGCTATGCCATCATGAAGCGTCTCGCAATGCAACGGCACGAAACCCCTAGAATGTCAGGAGGCATTTTGCGAATGCGAATTTGTCGAGTCCACTGAGTACTACATGATAATTTGCGATGCTTGCCGGTGCCTCAGTGCATCTATGTTGGTGCATGCTGCAGTGGCATGGTGCACATGAAGTTAAGTGCAGGCTACACCGGAGAATGTTCTCAGTCCCAGTGACTCCAGGTATCCTCTTGTCATATATAACTTTATACAACTTATATAACTTCAGAACTACGAAGGGATGTTCAGAAGTAAGTGCGGACTGTACAGCGAAATAGAGTACACAGATGCTGGAGAACCACGTGCAGGAGACAAGCCCTGCATCCCGAAACAATGTTGATGAATGATAATCAGTTATCAAACTAATCGTGTCAGCATTGAAATTGAAAACTAGGTATGAATATTGACCGGTATTACTGGTAATGACGAAATATCCTTTGCGTAACAGCCGTAAGGCTATGATGTTAAATGACGATGGAGCACTAATTTCATAATGCGAGTGAAGGCTCTTCATGCACACCTCAATCGCTCTCGTCACTCCCCAAAGCTGCCGGGCCTGTCCCGCTTGGTCGGCGCCTGAGCATTCACAAGCACTGATCAGCTCATGGCTCGTCTCATGCCTGCATCTCCTCGTCTTTCTGATGCCACGGTGTGACATGTCTAAATTCTAGATATGCGCCATTGTTGCCGAAGACCAGTGAAGCTATGACCAACCGGACGGCGTGAGGGGCCGGAGACTTGGGCTTTTTGACTTGTCTTGGGCAGCAGCTAAACTGCCAAGGTATGGAGGCATCCGACTCTATGCCGAGCCCCTGGCTGCCCAAGCCAGTCTGTGCCATGATGACTCGGAGCACATCCGCCGCACTGCCGCTTCCCTGTCACGCAGTGACAGGCTTCGGGGCTACTCTTTCGAGGCTCCGTTTGTGCATGTGGCCACTACTGCTCGCTTGGCCCGATTTGGGCTCTGGCATTCTGAGCTGCTCTGCGAGCAGCATGAAGAACAGCTGCCAAGCTGCTGAGCCCTTGGCAATTTACTTAATTCATTGCGCTGGGCCTTTCAAGGCCTCAGGAGCTGCGGGGTTAGGGCCGGAGTGGGGCTTACCGAGCTGCATCCCTCACACACCATCACGGCCACCCTCCGCGGTGTCCACACGTGCATGCAGGGGGCGTCATAAGTTCAGGCAACCCACCCGGGCCACAATGCTTCGTTGCCTCATATGTTGAACATACGTAAGTCCCTCCGCTCATCTAGTTGCATGTCAAAATTCCTCACCATGCCAGGCCGTAGAGGCCGTCAAGTGCAGCTTGATGTGTCTCAAAGCATCCCCAAGGGGAGCAGCGCCCTGCAAACCACCATGCTGCCGAGTTGATGAGACTATGCTGGGCGGGCAGAGTAGGTGGACGTCGAAGGGGCTCAGGTTGGAACGGCAACGAGCACAATAGCGGTCTAGGACCACGCATGGTTGTGTGCGTGCATGTGCTCATGCTGGAACGGAAACGACCAAATGTTGCTCATGTTGGAACGGAAACGAGCACAATAGCGGCCCGGGGCCATGCATGTTTGTGTGCGTGCGTGTACTCACGTTGGAGCGGAATCCAGCCGAGTGGTCGAGCCTAGTAGCAAGCGAGCACAAGAGCGGCCCAGCACCATGCACGGTTTTGAGCGTGCACGTGCTCATGCTGGAACGGAAACGAGCACAGGAGTAACCCAGTAGTGTTGCTCATGTTGGAACGGAAACGAGCACAATAGCGGCCCAGGGCCATGCGTGGTTGTCTGCGTGCGTAAACCAGAGTTTGGATATCGAAAGACCTTACTTCTCCTTGGTTTGAGCTTTTTGCTTGAGGCTGGATGCCCACTACTCACGAACCGCACCCTTTGTTAGCACCAATGTCTAAAGCTGTGCTTCTTGAAAGAGATCTATGAGGGCTTTGTTTAAGGAGTGATACATAGATAGATGCATGAACCAACAAATATAGATAACGATTGACTGATTCACTGCCTGTGGGTGGTGGCACCCTTGCACTTATAGATAAACAGAGTGATACCTAGATATACAGACAGACAAATAGATAGCATGGCGACGTGGGTACAGCTGAGAACAAACAACTATATAGATAAACAGAGTGAGACATAGGTATACAGACAGACAAATAGATAGCGTGGCGATGTGGGTGCAGCTGAGACCAAACAGCTATAGATACATAATAATGCAGGCGCGCATCATGCGCATCAGTGGTCCGGCCGGGCGTTGCCAAAAAGTTGCGCGAAACGACCGTGACAAGACGTGCCCAAGGCCGTCCAAGGCGCAAGGCTGATGCGCAATACAGACAGACAAATAGATAGCATGGCGACGTGGGTGCAGCTGAGAACAAACAACTATATAGATAAACAGAGTGAGACATAGATATACAGACAGACAAATAGATAGCGTGGCGATGTGGGTGCAGCTGAGACCAAACAGCTATAGATACATAATGATGCAGGCGCGCATCATGCGCATCAGCGGTCCGGCCGGGCGTTGCCAAAAAGTTGCGCGAAACGACCGTGACAAGACGTGCCCAAGGCCGTCCAAGGGGCAAGGCTGATGCGCAATACAGACAGACAAATAGATAGCGTGGCGACGTGGGTGCAGCTGAGAACAAACAACTATAGATAAACAGAGCGAGACATAGTGAGACATAGATCTACAAACACACAAATGGATAGCGTGGCGATGTGGGTGCAGCTGAGAACAAACAACTATAGATAAACAGAGTGATACATAGACAAACAGATAGCGTGGCGACGTGGGCACAGCTGAGAATGATACATGACATAGATATACAGACAGACAAATACTTGGTGTGTGCGTCGACCCTCCCGAAAAATTTTAAGGGATCTGGGCCTGGGAGCCTCGCATATGATGATGACTGATGATGATGATGGTGATGATGATGTTGCGGCCCATGAACCTTGAACAAGCCTCGGAACCTGATGACATTGATGACAGATGATGACGATGAGGACTCCACGGGGCATGCTTAATTTTCCAAGCCTCGATGATGACTGGTTACCCTCAGTCAGGGAGTCTGTGTTCGACTGAATCTGCGACGGAACAAGACTCGCCGCAAGCAACCCAGCTCCCTGGGCTGAGACCTGTGCTGAGCCTGACAACCCAACGAACTATTCTACCTGGGAGCCTGGGAACCTAGGAACCGAACCTTTGCCGAGCCTCGTGATGATTGTCAGATTGTCATGTCACGGCACATGTCTCAGCCCAGCCAGGGAGGGAGTCTTGCGGCAGATCTTCAACCGCAGATGCATTCGGCAACAGTCGCAAAGCCGGACTGGTGAGGAGCAGCATCATCATATTATGATGATGTTTCTCCTAACCAGTCCGGCTTCCCGAGTAGCGGTTGAGAGCATGCCGAGCTTGCACACGCTCTCCTGCAGCCCGTGTCTGGGAACAGGCAAACAGGCAAAGAGTGTTAGTCTCCAGCAACCTTTTAGAAACTCTCAGACCAATCCGGCTGGACTACAGACAACTTGCAAGTCAACTCTACAAGCCCGTGGCACGCATATCCTCTGGGCCCCCTGGGCCTGGAAGCCTCGCATATGACTGATGACTGATGATGATGATGGTGATGATGATGTTGCGGCCCATGAACCTTGGACGGGCCTGGGAACCTGATGACATTGATGACTGATGATGGTGATGATGATGTTGTGGCCCATGAACCTTGAACGGGCCTGGGAACCTGATGACATTGATGACAGATGATGACGATGAGGACTCCACGGGGCATGCTATTAGCCTCGATGATGACTGTCATGCCACGGCACAGGTCTCAGCCCAGCTATTCTACCTGGGAGCCTGGGAACCTAGGAACCGAACCTTTCCCGAGCCTCGTGATGATTGTCATGTCACGGCACATGTCTCAGCCCAGCCAGGGAGGGAGTCTTGCGGCAGATCTTCAGCCGCAGATGAATTCGGCAACAGTCGCGAAGCCGGAC